AATGGATCAATTGTAAAACTCTACTAGTTGATACATCATTAATGGATTTAAAAGAAACTCGCTTTTGTTTTCCTTTAGCACAAGCATCACAGATTTTATCATTATCAAATTTAAGCTTAGGCAACCCTCTTACTAGGTCTCCTTGAATTAACCGTTGCAAAGCACTCATACTAGCATGTCCTAGTCTCCTATGCCATAACCAACTATCATGTTCATCCTTAGCAACTAGGCATAAATTAGTTATATCAAAAGAATCTAAATGCACCATGTATATGTTCCTATTTTATGACCAACAAGCATAATCAAAAATAGATGCAATGTCAATCAATTTTGCAATCATTTAAAATAAAACATTGTATCTTTTATCAAATTTATTTTTCAAAAGATTATGCTTTTAACCCATTCACATATAAAACATTATGCAATGTTGATTATAGAGATTAAGAGCACGTGCATAAAGTTTTTGAAAATGTTATGCATTAAAACTTTATAATATTTAAACAAAAATCTATGCATAAACATTAAGAAAAATTTCAGGTCAAAATTTTTGCAAAACCAAAGTTCTTGAAAAATCGATATCAATTGTTAAAGAGATATCATTTTTTTTAAAATAAAAACAATTTTGACCAAAAATTAATATGATGAACTAGAGTTTAATAAAACATTACCAAAAATTATCATGATCATCATACAATATTTTTCAACATACATGAGATAAAACATAATTCAACATTTAAAACTGCATGCATGCATAAACTAAATGAGCAACCAAATAATAAAAATATTAAGTTTAGAGGTTACCCATTCCCTTTTTATGTGTGGCTAGAGCATCTTGAATATCATCATCTTTATCACCATTTCTCTCACACACCTACAAGAGACATTTAAGTAGATTTTGGTATCCAAATTGCTTTGGATCCTTGAACATTAGTTTCAATGCCTCTTGTTCCTTTTGGAACCCATACTTGTCTAATTTTAAATCGTTTTCCTTTCTTTAAAGGACAAGTATATTCCTTATGACCATGATAATGACAATGTGAACATATTGTCATTATTGAACTAGATGAATTATTTAGAATTGTCACTTATTCTCTTGTTAAACATTCAAGCTTATCTTTCAAATTGAAATTTTCTTTTTCAATACTTTCAAATTTCATTTTTGAGAGTTCTAAATCCTTCTTCAAGATTTCATTTTGATTTTCAAAATCCATTTTCATTTCTAGAAGAAGTTTGTTTAATTTGAAAATTTCTTTTTCAAAGTTTTCAGATTTTATTTTTGAAAGCTCTAACTCCTTTCTCAACATTTCATTTTGATTTTCCAAGTCTGTTTTAGCTTTCAAAAGAAGATCATTTTTTAGCAAAAAATTTAGAAATTAATTTATTGTATTTGGAGTTCATGGTCTCAAACTCCGAATATAATTTATCATAAGCATCTTTTAACTCATTAAAAGATTTTGAATTTGATATATTTGAGTTAGAAGATACCTTTGTCTCTGTGAGAGCTAATAGAGACATCACTTTTATTGGTTCTTCTTCTTCCTTGTCTCTATAGATCTCCTCAAGCTTATCCCACATTTCCTTGGCACTTGAACAAGAAGAAACTCCTTTATATACATTAGGATCAATTGCACAACACAACATGTGCATAGCCTTTGAGTTTTGTTGAGCTTCCTTCCGTTCTTGAACACTCCACTTCTTTGCCTTCTTAGTAGGAGAGGAATATCCTTTCATGATTATCATTCAAGCTTTCATATCAAATGATTTGATGAATATCATCATACACCTCTTCCAATTACGATAATTTGTTCCATTGAAGTGTGGAGGCATGTCAATAGGTCTGGATTCTTCCATGGAGAATGAACCGGAAGTAGACGCCATCTTTATCGATTTAACTCTTCCCGAATCGACTCAAGAGGCGATTAAACCTTCAAATGAGTGAGGCTCTGATACCAATTGTTGAGTTAATCGATTGACAGAATTAGCCAAGAGGGGGGTGAATTGGCAATTAAAAATTTGGTGGAAGCTTTTGCAGAAAATTGAAAGTAATTGCACAGCGATTTAGAGTGGTTCGACTTTCTCAATCAAAGTCTATGTCCACTACCTTAGCTATCCACACTAAGGATTTCCAACAAATTCACTAATTTGTTCTTTCTTTTGAGGCCAAAGAGATAACCTTACAACACCCTCAAGAATATACCCCAATTCTTGAGAACACACTTTCCCAAAGAGAAGATTACAAATTTGCAAACTTATAAAGAAAACCTCACAAGGTAAGATGTTTGCACAATTCTAGAATAAGAAAAGAACACTCACAAATAATTACAAATGAGCACAAATGGTGTTCTTTGAAAGCAAAAAGAATATTGAAGGGAAAATTGGCTTGATTTGCACAAACTTGGTGTTTGATGCTTTCTCTCTTGTTTCTCTATAATTTCATATTGATCAAGGGCTTCAGAACTTGTTTAAATACACCTTGAATCACTTCTGAACGTTGGGGATGATTAGTGAAGGTCATATAGCCGTTTTAGTGTGAAAACAATTAATAAAACAGCTTGGAGCTGGGGGGAATCGGTACCCCCTATGGGGAATCGGTTCCCTAAGTGTAAAATTCAAATATTTCGACCGTTATACAAGGGGGAATCGGTACCCCCTGGGGGGGAATCGGTTCCCTCCGAGCATACTGGAATTCTCGGAGCCAAACCATTCAGGGGGGAATCGGTACCCCCTTAGGGGAGAATCGGTACCCCCTTAGGTGGGAATCGGTTCCCTCTGAGCAATCTGGAATTTTTGGCTTTTAAATGGTTCGAAATACTTTGTAAAATTATTTTGAAATTGTTTTAAGATTAAAAATTTATTTTACACTTTGAGTAAGGATTAAAAATGATCTTTGAAAGATTTGGAGTAATGTTTTGATATTCGAATAATTCTATCGAATATACTTAGAAAATCATTTGGAAAATCTTAAAATTCATTTAACTTAATTTGTTATATCGAAATATCAAAATTTTTTCAACAGATACCTTAACGAGTTAAGTAAAATCCAACTCGACTCGATAAATTCACGATCAACTCTTAATTTTTTATATAATTTTTAGTAGTTTGGTGATTGCAAACAACAATGAATGAAGTAAAAAGGTGTTGGATTTTCTTATTTTTAGGATTGATTATAAATCATTGAATTTCTTCTTCTTTTTCAAGAATATTTTTAATATGTTAGTTTGATGTATTTGTGGGTTGTTAATTAAGTTTTAATATGTTAGTTTGTTGTTTTTGTAGATTATTATTTTGAAATTTAGATTTTGAAATTACTTCATACACTCTTTTAATAATTTTTTAGTTAAATTAATTAATTTTTATTTATATTAAGCTCTATATAATATTAGCATATTTTATATATAGTTAAAAAATAATATAAAAATTCCAATTAATAAACGAGCAATGAACTTAATAAACAACGAGTTAAATTAAATAATAATTATTTTAAAGAGTACGAGTCAAACAAAATTTTAACAAATTTAACAGAATTGAGTCGAAACGATCAATAAATCTTTTTAAGAAGTATAAGTCGAGGACCGTCGAACTGGAAATCGACTCGTTTGATAAATGCTCGTAATGATAGCCATCCACAGTAGATCCAAGCAGGCACGTGATTTTTCTGGTCCGTAAATAGCAGCCATCATGAAAATAGAAATAAATAAATATAAAAAAGGAAAGGGTGATTGTGTAATTATGGAGAAACAAAGGAGCAAACTTAAGAAAAGGAGCAAATCACGCGGCGAACAACCGAAGCCGCACACATTCAATTACTCGCTTTTATTCTTCGCTGACACGGTTTTGCATAATTTGACTTATTTGTTTAGATGCGATTCCCTATATCTGACTCTGTCCCCACATTGCTTGGAGTGGCTGTCCCTATACACTTTATGGGCAAATGAAAATATTAGAGGAAAGCCCCTTGTATTTTTCTCTTTTATATTTTCTGAACCACTTCACTAATAAAATAACTTCAAATGTATGTAGTGTATCACAATCAATAAGTTCACATAATTTTTTTTAAAAGTGAGTATATATATATATTAATTACATAAAAATTTTGTATGGGGTAAGAATAAATAAAATTTTAAGACATACATTATCAATAAAACAAATAATTAATTTAATAAAATTTAGATTTTAGAGCGGTCACTTGTCCACCTTAACTTAGTCGTACTTCTACCACTAGTTGAACCAAGCATATGCATAATAAAAGGGTATAATATCAAAAGAACCTCTAAAATTTGACTAAATAGAAACTTTAACCTTTATTCGTTATTGAGCATTTTGGCCTCAATATTTTATTTTGGGAAAAAACGCCTCTCTATGAATGAAAACTTTTAGTTAACAAATGATTAATGCTATAAAATAGAGGCCTATTTACCCTAAAATGAAATATTAAGGGTCAAAATGCTTAGAAAAAAGAACAAAGGTCAAAGTGACTATTTAATCAAATATTAAATGTCACTTTATCCTAAAACGAAATGTTAGAGGCTAAAATAATCATTTTAATAAATATCGAAGGCTAATTTTAACATCATGCATATAAAATAAGAACTAGCTTCGTAGGGAATTTGTGATTTGTGAAGTAGAGGAATACTAAGATAAAAGGAATATGAATTATTAGGGATTAAGACGAGCAAAAGAGTAAAATGTAGGGGCAAATATTCAAATACATTCCACCTAACTCGGAAATATGGAAAACGTGAGCTGGGCCGAAACAGAGGGGAAATAGCCCCGTCGTTGGCAAATTGCCATATATAAATATGAAGCCTCCTCCCGTTTCACTCGCAACATAAACTTTCTTTTGCTGTTACATGGGAGATTTACTCTGGGACGTTTTTTAGCACAACCCTTCTTCCTTTCTTTTTCTTTTTATTTTCTTCAATATTTTTCTTCTACACTTTGAAGAAAATAAATCATAGGATATTATAGAGATTCAGAATCATTTTTTTTGTAATAACAAGGTGAAATGGGGAAATACACGGAGATTTTGGATGCAGGTGTGAGAATAGTCGCAAGGTTTCATTCTCACTGCCCCCAGACTGCTCGTCTCTATTATCACCCACCGGCTGACTCCAACCCCCACCACCACAGCGTCTCCGACAATATTGGCAGCATCTCAAGAGAAGTCTCGGCGCATATGGGGTTCTACGGTTCCAAGGCGGCGGCTGGTGCTGACTTGAAAGAGATCATTATTTTTTCCCTTTGACGAGAGAGATTTACAATTTTGGAATTCTCCTATCGATTATCTTTTTAAAACTGCTCAAAGTTTAACAGATTGCTTGTATTTGTTTCTGGACTTGACAGATTCTTTTACAAATAAACGAGGAATTTGATTTACTACGAACGCTTCTTTAACAAATTTTACGCCCAAATAATACAACACAGTTGGCGTTTAGCTGTACACATTGAAAACACAACGAAGAATGTCCTGGGTTTTCCCTTTCTTAGGAGCCTTAATTATAAAATAGATGTTCAAATTTACCACTTTTCACGATTAAATATTTAAATTATTATTTTGAATGATCTTAGTACTTAACATTACAAACACTTTTTTATTAAAAAAATCTTAATCTCTAAAATCTCACATCCTAACCTATCACCATCGTCTTTTCCAACCATAACCACCGTCGCTGATGTAGTTTCTATCATCCTTCTGGTCATATGTTATCAGAGTTGCCGTCGATTGATCATTGAAATCTCGTGGGATCATGATTTTTTTCATAGGGTTTGCGAGGTATAAAACGTCGACCGGTCGCGATTTTATAGGGGTTTTGATCGTCCGGGGGAGATGAGGTCTGGTGGAGTTTCGTCGATAACAAATGGTGATAGCCGGTGTGGGTTTAGGGTTTAAATTAAAGTTTTCAAAGTTATAGGGCTATTTCAAAAAAATAATTTAAATTTAATTTTTTTAATTTTAAATAAAGATCATGTGTCTCTTAACAAAGAAAATTAATATCGTTTACTATGCATCTAAAGTGATAAAGTTTGTAATGTTAGACACTAAGATAATTAAAAAAATAGTTTAGATACTATTCATGAAAAACTCAATAATTTGGGCATTTTTTTAATTGAGCCTTCTTGCAAAAGTCTTTAAGACTGTAATAGCATTTTCAAGAATGTCAACGGAATGAACTTCAACCAATATTTCTTTATTTCGAAGGGTCCATTATTTTAATTTGGTAGACGTAGTTAGGGGCACCTTTCCACAAAAAAACGGTGAATTCAAGGTAGGGCTTTTGAATTTTAAACAAAATAAAGGTTTATTGCATTAGGTATCTTTTTAACTTTAGGTTAAATTTTTAATTGATCTCCCTTCACCCTCTACTTTCTTTTTTATTTACAATTTGCATCTTTTTCTATAGATCGAATCAATTTTTTTCTTTTTTAATTTTGTTTAGCTGGCGGTTGCACCAGTTTTAATACTGGTTGTCGACCATCGATTGTCTTTTTTCTTTGTTTCTTTTTTAGTTTTTTAGTAAGAATAATTATGTCTTTGTGACACATTTATTTATGCCTTTGTGGCACGTTTATCTCTGTCTTTTGGTAGTTTTCAATTTTCTTGTCGTTGTTTTCGTTTATCTTTTTTATCAGGATTGAATTTGACATATCTACAACTGATCAAGATGGTGTTTATTTTTTATCATGTTGATCTTCCATGCTTTGACCCTCGGATTGTAACACCCCAAAAATTTCATTAGTGACCAAAATGTAAATTTTGAAAGTTTAGCAGACAAAGTATAAAAATTAGAAAAGTTCAAAGACCAAAAGGGTAATTTTCAAAAGTTTGGGGGACCAAAGTGAAATTTACAAAATTTAGATGTTTTGACCTCATAAACAAATAGTTCATACCCAAAAATGACGTTTTGGTGAGAAACAAATTTTTTATCCGAAATTTATGTTAAAAGCTAAAAAGTGTTAAAGTTCGATAAAATTCGGTAAATTGGATTGAATGGAAATTTTGAGAAAATTGAAGGATATTAAATTAAGCTTAGAAATATTATTTTCATATTTTAAAATGATGGAAAATAATATGGATCATTAGATTTGAGAATTAATTTCCATGTTCAATTTGGACCCTTAGATTAAAGTGGCAAGATTGATATTTAGAACAAATATAAAATAATTTTGAGATTTATACAAAAATATATGTATTTTTAATCAAGGATAGGTCAGAAAACATGGCAACATATTATGCTCAAAACAACTTCTGTAAGTCACCTTTAAAAATTCACTATAAATTGTAAAAATGGAACTAGAAGGAGTGAATCATATGGTTGGGTTTGTATTTGATTCTAGTTTCTAGTGGTATAAATGGAATAATTTGTAAGTGTGTATATTAATACATGATAATATTTCTTTGAAGGTAGTACAAACTACCAGAATATGAAATTATGATAAAAATTGGGATCGAACCAAATTGATTGCGAAGGATTAAGTTGAAGTTTAGTGAGGCTTATCGTGACTTGTTTGTAATTTCAAAGTGAGTGCAAGGCATGCATAACATTATACATAGATGTTCTATACATCATTGGGTAGGACTTGCGATAAGTCTACCTTATATACGTTGGCATGATATTTATGTCATTTATCATATATTTGATGTATTCTAAATATGTCAAAAGTTGAGTATAAAATGATTTGATCACTAGTTATTATATATGATGTTTATTATGTATATATATATATATATATATATATATATATATATATGATGTTATTTCAGGTATGAACTGCTCAACATGAAATTATATTAATATACTTTGCCATGAATGAATTAAATAAATATAGACTATATGTCTAAATATGTCATTGAGGGTCATTGGTATTGATGGCATGCCATAGAGTCCAATAGCTGCATATTCAGGATTGCACTAAAGGATAACTAGTGCATATGGTGGGCACAAACTTATGTGTCATATTCCGAATTGTATGAAAGGATAACTAGTACAGAAGGTGAGCACGACCCGACCTCGTGTGTAAGCACTACGATGCATATATTTGACTCGAATATTGGTGTCCTCGTAGGTTTATATTTTGGGCTATGGTTTATTGGTTAATAAATGATAAACATGAGAATAAGCTTATGAGCTTATGGAATAAATGATAAGTATATTGGTAAGAAATTTTATATCCTGTTTATATCATGTTGATATATGGTAATATAGTTGGAATGCAGGTAAACGACCAAAATCATTGAACATTGTTACTCATTTCATTTATGTGTTGCATTGCTTTGAATATTTCTATGATTGTCTCACTATGTGTATACTTAGCGTATGATGATTTCTATGCGTAGGTAAAAGAATGCGAGAGGATTAAGGAGGTGAGTTTGGCATCAATCATCGAGGAATATTTTCAGGTAACAGTGATGACATCCTATCGTGATCTAAAGTTTCTAGCTAGAATGTATACGAGTAAGAAATGTCTGCAAATTATAAGTATGGGTAGTATTAAATATTAAGTAATTGGATTTTAAATCAGATGGTTTTTAGATAGTTTTATTTATGATATGAAAAAGAATATAATTGTCTAGTTAATGCCTGAAATCTGATCTCAAATAGAGGTCAGAATATTATTATATTTTGATTTTATATGAAAAATTATTTTACTATAAAAGTTAAGAATTGTAAACTTTTGAAAGAAAGGGGTGTTACACGGACCGTGTTTTGCGTTCGTTGATAGTTTTTTTTCACGTAGCTCGACTCTGATTTGCGATTGTCGGCAGTCTTTCAATAGCTTCATCCCCTTTTATGGTTCGTTTATCGATGCAGCCATATTTATTCGTATCTTTATTTTGTTCGAACTTTTTGGTTAGGTTCTTAACCTTTTCCTTCTTTGGCTAGGTGGCTAGTTTTTGTCACAAAGGTAATAGGAAAATGACATAATTATATATTATGTCTACAAAATAAAATTCTTTTCTCTTCTGACAAATTATGTCACAATTTTTTTTGAAACGTGTTTATAAGCGCTTAAAGGGTAAACTATACCAATGACCATCTAACTATAGTTCATTTTTTATTTTGACCACTATTTTTGAATTCATGTCAATCATGCCACTCAACTATTTAAATGCATTCAATCAAGTCACCTGCCATTAACATTTAATGGAAGTGATGATGTAGTAGTTAATAAAATTAGTATAATTACACATTTGGTCACTGTTACTCATATATTCTCTCAATTTAGTCATAATTTTAATAAATTAAAATAAAATTATTTTTCCAATGGGATGGTGGGTCATCCTCTGGTGAAAAGAAAAGTAAAGCAAATAGAGGTGGCAATGGGAATCAAACTTGAATCCCTTTGGTGAGAAGAGGAAAGACCAACCACTAGGACAAGCTTTTTGTTTAGTTTTAAGAAGACTACAAGACATATATATCTTATATCTTGGCCAAAACTTATTATCTGGAGTCGAACCCAAACTAACATTGAAAAATAAATTTTATTTTTATCCTAAATTCATATATTAAATTAATTAACTTCTTAAATATATATATATATATATATATCTTAAATTCATATATTTAAAATATATTTTTATTTTAAATTTTATTGGAGCGGTGGAGCTAGTTATGCAGGACACAAGCATTCTTCGAGCGGAAAGCCACCCTCTTCATCTACATGGATTCAACTTCTTTGTTATGGGGCAGGGTTTTGGCAATTTGATCCGAATAAGGACCCTGCAAAGTTCAACCTGATTGATCCTGTTGAAAGGAACACTGTTGGCGTGCCATCAGGTGGTTGGGTTGCGATTCCGTTTTCTAGCAGACAATCCAGGTAAGTTACATGTTGAACATCCTTACGATGCATCGAATGCTTGCTTTGAGTTGACGATGATAGCAAATTTTATTTTTATCTTAAACATATTTTAAATATATAAAAATAAAAATACATTTAATTATGTGAATTTGAGATATATATATATATATATATATATATAATTTTAAGATGTGAATTAAATTTTAATATATGAATTTAAGAAAAAATAAAATTTAGTTTTCAATGTTAGCTTGGGTTCGATTCCAAACAATCAGCATTGGCCTAGTGGTTGAGTGTTACAAAATTTTTAATTGTTTTGGCATAATGTCAAAAAATGTTCATAACGTTCGATCAAATAGTCACATTGACCCCTATTCTTTTTTGGAGCATTTTGTCCCCCAATGTTTCATTTTGAGGCAAAGCCTTTATTTGAATGGTAATTATTAGTTAACAAATAGATAACGCTCCAATATAGGGACATTTTTACCTTAAAATAAAACGTTGAGGGACACAAATATTATCAAAAAAAGGGACAAAGTGATTATTTGGTCAACCAGGTACTTTTTTGCACTAAAAATG